CAGATATGTGTGCATTTTATGTGGATTTATTTTAGAGAAATTAAGTCCCATCAGCAAGAAGTTATGATCCATTTACAGTACTGAGGGCTGAAAGCCTATTTGTAAACAGAGTGCTATTAGTATAAAAGGTATAGAGCCAGATTCAGAAACCTGTATTCATGTGGAACAGCATCTTCCCTGACAAGTGCTCCCTTATTGGGTTGCATGGTTCAGTGGAACACCTTATGGCATTCTAAGTTTCTTGAAGTGCTTAATTTTTTTCTTTCCCCTTGCTGTTTTAGATATTTGAAGAAGCAAGAAAAATGTAACCTTCTAAACTCGAGACTTTTTTTGACGCAAATAAGGAAGAGGCTGAATTATAAACTTAACATTATTTGTAGACCAGACTTACTTTGTAGTATTCATGGATACAATCTTGTCATCCCCTCACACCAAAAACTCCCATTAAGTCAATGGAATTGAAGCCACTGTTTTGAAAGGAATCTATTGGGGCCCACACTATGAAAAATTTTGACCAAAAAGTGACTTCACAGTTGAAAACTGCTAAAGAAGGTCAGTTAGAGATGACATTTGCTTTGGTGTTTGTACTTGTAAACACTGTCCTCAGGTTTTGCTGGTATAAATCTGCCAAAAAATATCTTGTTTTATTTTTATTGTGTAATCTTAAACAGTTCTGCACACAAGGATACAAAGTTGTAAGAATAATATAACCTTTTATAAGTAACTTTTTATCTGGAATCAAAGCAGATTGATAAATTTCTCTTAGGACACTACTACAGAAATGAGATAATAAATAAGGCTTTGTTGACACTTGCTGTCAGTATGTAGATTAGCAGGAGGAAAATCACTACAGACCAGAAACTTTCCAGTATACCTTTATAAGCAAAGGAAGATAAGAAAGATCTAGAAAACTGGAACTATTGGAAGTGGTTACCTTGAAAACAGCTGTAAGTTGTTGAAGAGGAGTGCTCTTACATGTGGTGTTAGTAACTTTAATGAAACAGGGGTGTTAAAAGGGAAAAATGGGAAAGTTTTTGTTCTGTTAAATCATTGAGGAAAGAAGTACTAACCACACAGATTATTTATCTTAGTAAAATTTTCAGAAGGTTTTTATTAAATTAATGATTTTTCCATCAGATATCAGTTATGGTAAAACTGTTGCTACAATACCTTGAAAACTTTCAGAAATAAAATGTAAAGAGTTTGGGAGTCAGGGAGAGGCATAGCAACAATATTTTATAATAGATTCTTTAACCAGAATTGGAACAAAATCCATTTAGATTGGGACAGTGTTTTATGAGATCCCACTGAAGATCATTGTAGTTAACTTATTCTACACAAACACCATTGAGACAGCATGGATAAAGGCAGTCAGTGAAAACCAATTAACTACCAACTGATTAAAAAGCATTTTTTCACCAGAGAATTATAAAGCGGAATAGCCACTCAGTACATTTTAAATGCATCTGTTGACCTTCTATTTCATTTAAATAGAAAATTGTATTTTTATCTAATATTTTCTCTGCTCTGTTCACAGTAACTTCCTTATTTGTGCTATTGTTTCAGTTAATAAATTAATTCTGAAGCCATTCTCCATCAGTTTAATGTTAGACAAACTTGTGATCCAGTCATTATCTGTGATGTGCTTGCTACCAACGTTGGAGATGCAGCGTGGTGGCTCAAATGGAAGATGTCACTCATGTATAAAAGGCACCTTCTTTGTGTATTTCAGGATGTAAAAGAAAGATTATATGTGAGGACTTAGGCAACAAAGGACTAGGGTTGCTATTGGACTTAATTACATTTAACACTGCTTTTTGAATGTTAATACTTCAGATCTCCCTTTATCCTGGGATGAAAAAATGCAGCTAGGAAACAGCAAGTTTATTCTTCTAAGTTCTTTAATATAAACTTCAGGCTTTTAAGACTGAAAACCAAGTTACAGAATACAAACTAAGGCAATGGATGGGCATTATATTTCTAGCAAGACCTATGCTCTTTTAATGTAGCAAAAAGTGAGCATTCAGGTGTACAACCATTTTTTATTGTTAAAAAAAACAAAAAACAAAAACAAACCCCATGAAGGCTCCACAAGGAAATACAGGCAGTCTTCGGACAG